TGTCAAGATTTATTTTGTTGCATGTGGATACCTAGTCATTCCAGCACCATTCAGTGAAAAAACTCTCCTTTCTCCATTGAATTGTGCTTGCTCCTGTATCAAAGATCAGTTGGCTATATATTTGTGGGTCTAGTCCACAGATGTATCTGTCTATTCTTTCACCAGTGTCATACTGTTTTGATCACTGTAAGATTAGAATAAGTCTTCAGGCTGGAAAGTGTCAGTCCTCTAACTTTGCTCTTCTATTTCAATATTTGTATAGGCTATTCGGGGTCTTCTGTCTCTCTCTATAAATTTTGGAAAGAGGATGTTGATATACAAAAAATAACTTGCTGGAATATTGACTGGGATTGAGTTGAATCCATAGATCAACTTGGGAAAAAGTGACATCTTCAAAATATTAAATCTTTCTATCCATGAACATGGACTATTTCTCCATTTATCCAGATCTTGGATTTCATGAAAAGTGTATAGTTATACTCAGGTAGAGCTTGTACATATTTTGTTAGATTTATACCTAAGTATTTCTCTTTTCGATGCTAATGTAAATCGCGTTGTGTTTTACATTTCAAATTCCAGTTGTTCATTTCTGGTATATAGAAATACAACCGATGTGGTATACTAACCTTGTATCCTGCAGGATTGCTATAATCACTTAAATTGTAGGAGGCATTTTGTTGATGATTTGAAATTTTCTGCATGGTCATCAATCTGCAAACACAGTTTTGTTTCTTCCTTCCAAATCAACATATATTTTATTTACTTTCCTTGTGTTATTGCATTAGTTAGAACTTCCGGTATGTCGTTGAATAAAATAGGTGAGAAGGAATATCCTTGTCATATTCCCAATTTTAGGAGGAAAGCATCTACTGTCTCACCATTTAGTTTAACATTAGCTACAGGGTTTCTGTAGATGTTCTTTATTAAGTTCAGGAAGTTCCTTTCTATTTCTAGTTTGTGAAAGTTTTGATTATGAATGAGTGTCAGATTGTATAAAATGTTATTTCTGCATCTATTGGAAGGATTATACGATTTTCCTTCTTTGTCATGTTGATATCATGAATTACATTAATTGGTTTTTGAGTGTTGAACCAGCCTTGCATAACTGGACTAAATTCCATTCAGTCACGGTGTAGATTCTTTTTATAGATTGTTGCATTTTATTAGCTAATATTTTGTTGAGGATCTATATTCACAAAAAATATTTGTCGGTAGTTTTCCATTCTCGTAGTTTCTTTGTCTGACTTTGATGTTAGGATAATGCTGGCTTCATAGAATAAGTTGGAAAGTTTTCACTCTGCTTCATTTTCTGGAAAACATTATAGGCAACTGGTATAATTTCTCCCTTAAATGTTTGGCAGAAGTTTACAGTCAATTCATTTATGTCAATCCAATGGGCTTTCCGTTGTGGGTGATTACTGACAAATGAGTCAACATCTTTAATAGATACAGGTTTATGCACATAATCTATTTCTCCTGGTATAAGTTTTGGTTGATTGTGTCACCAAGAAATTGGTGCATTTCATCTAAGTTACCAAATTTGTGGCCACTGAGTTGTCAATAATATGCCTTGATTATGTTTCTAATGTCCATTAGACCTGTAGTGATGGCCATTCTTTCATTTCTATTAGCAATTTTTCTTTTCTCCCCCTTTTTTAGTTAACTTGGCTAAGAGTTCAGTGGTTTTATTGGTCTTTTCAATACACCAGCTTTGGGTTTTACTGATTTTCTCTATTGAGTTCCTGTTTCCAATGTCATTGATTTCTGTTCTAATTTTCATTAGTGCTTTTCTTCTGCTTACTTTGGATTTAATTTGCTGTTTTTCTAGTTTCCTATGGTGGAAGCTTAGATGATTGCTTTTTTTTTCCTCTTTTTTGAAATGGAGTTTCGCTCTGTCACCCAGGCTGGAGTGCAGTGGCGTGATCTCGGCTCACTGCAACCTCCACCTCCTGGGTTCAAGTGATTCTCCTGCCTCAACATCCGGAGTAGCTGGGATTATAGGCATGCACCACCACGCCCAGAAAAGTTTTGTATTTTTAGTAGACAAGGGTCCTCCATGTTGGTCAGGCTGGTCTCGAACTCCTGACCTTGTCATCCGCCCGCCTCGGCCTCCCAAAGTACTAGGGATTACAGGCATGATGATTGCTTTTTAGATCTTTTTTCTTCTGTAATATATGCATACAATGCTCTAAGCAGGGCTTCCACTGCATCTCACAAATGTTGGCAAGTTGTATTTTTATTTTCATTTAGCTTAAAATATTTTTAAATTTCTCTTGAGACTTCTCTGATCCATGTATTACTTGGAAGTCTGTTTTGGGAATTTTCCACGTATCTTTCTGTCATTGATTTCTAGTTTATTTCTATTATGGTCTAAGAACATACTTTGTATGACTTCTTTCATATTCGTTAAGGTGTGTTTTGTGACCAAGAAACTGATTTGTCGGAAGCCGCGGTGGCTCCAGCCAGTTGTCCTGGCGCTTGAGGAGGCGAGGCTATGAGTTCAAGGCCAACCTGAGCAACATAAGAAGCTCTCGATTAACAAAAAAAAAAAGAAAGTGATTTGTCTTGGTGAATGTTCCATGTTAGTTTGAGAAGAATGTGTATTCTGCTGTTGTATGAAGTATTCTATAGATTTCGATTAGACTTAGTTGATTGATTCAGTTCAACTACGTCCTTGCTGACTTTTTGCTTAATAGGCTTGTTAGTACTGTTAGTACACTTTGTCATCCAGGCTACAGTGCAGTGGCATAATCTTGGCTCACTGCAACCTCTGCCTCCTGAGTTCAAGCTATTCTCCTGCCTCAGCCTCTCAAGTAGCTGAGATCACAGGCACGCACCACCGTACCAGGCTAATTTTTTGTATTTTTAGTAGAGACAGGTTTTACCATGTTCACCAGGCTGGTCTCAAACTACTGACCTCAAGTGATCCACCTGCCTCGGCCTCTCAAAGTGTGGGGATTACAGATGTGAGCCACCTTGCCTGGCCTGGGTCTGTAAATTACTAATTGAGGGGTGTTAAAGTCTTCCAATTGTAATAGTGGATTTGTCTGTTCCTCCTTATGATTGTACAAATTTTTGCCTCATGTATTTTGACACCAGGTTTTTAGGTGCATGCACATTAAGAATTGTTATGTCTTCTTGGAAAGATGACCCCTTTATCATGATGTAATGCCCCTCCTGATCCCTGATAATTTAACTTACTCTGCAGATGCTTTGTCTGATATTAACACAGGTCCTCCAGCTTTCTTTTGATTAGTGTTCACATAGTATAGCTTTCTCCATCCCCTTACTTTTAAAAAAATTTTATTGTGGTAAGAACGCTTAAGATGAGGTCTACCCTCTTAACAAATTCATAAGTGTATGACACCATGTTGTAAACTGGAGGCGCAGTGTTGAACGGCAGAACTTAATAATCTTGTATAACTGAAACTTTAGACCTGTGGAGCAGCTACTTCCCATTTCTCCCTTCCCTTCCTCCTGGAAACCACTACTCTCCTCTCTACTCCCATGTGTTTCATTGTTTTAGACACTCATGTAAATGGAATTATGCAGTCTTTCTGTAACTGGCTTATTTCATTTAGAATCACGTCCCCAAGGTTCATCCAAGTAGTCACATAGGGCAGGATTCTAAACAATGTTTTCTTAAGGGTAGTCAAGTGAAGCACTGAGAGTGGAGAAAGAACAGAGAAATCTGACTGGTTGGGACCAATTAGTTGGAAATACCATCACTGCACTTGGACCAGCTTAGATTTCTTTCTTTTTTTTAATGCTGAATAATATTTCATTGTATGCACGCCTGTAATCCGAGCACTTTAGGAGGCCGAGGCAGGAGGATCAGTTGAGGACAAGAGTTAGAGACCAGCCTGGCCAACATAGTGAAACCCGTCTCTACTAAAAATTAGCCAGGCATGGTGGTTCATGCTTGTAGTCCCAGCTACTTGGGTGGCTGAGGCAGAAGAATCGCTTCAACCCAGGAAGCAGAGGTTGTAGTGAGCCGAGATGGCACCATAGCACTTCAGTCTAGGCTACAAAGTGAGACTCTGTCTAAAAAAAATAAATAAATAGAACAACTCATTACATGTATATATACCATATTTTCTTTATCCGTTCACTAATTGGTAGAAATTTAGGTTGCTTCCTCATCTTGGCTATTGTAAATAGTGCTGCAGTGAATATAGGAATGCAGATATCTGTCTGTCCCTAGAAACCATTCTGCTTTCCTGGGTCCCTGTGTCTGTAGGGGAGAACAACCTTTAAGATCTCTGAAATGCCCTCGAGGTCTTTCTCCCATTCTCTTGATGTTCTCTTCTTTCTGTACTAACTTCCTTGGCAGAAGGTCACTGGGCCACACTCTTGGTTTTCCGTCCCAAACATGTTTTTTTTTTTGTTTGTTTGTTTTTTGAGATGGAGTTTCGCTCTTGTTACCCAGGCTGGAGTGCAATGGTGCGATCTCGGCTCACCTCAACCTCCGCCTCCTGGGTTCAGACAATTCTCTTGCCTCAGCCTCCTGGGTAGCTGGGATTATAGGCACGCGCCACCATGCCCAGCTAATTTTTTGTCTTTTTAGTAGAGACAGGGTTTCACCATGTTGACCAGGATGGTCTCGATCTCTTGACCTCATGATCCACCCGCCTCAGCCTCCCAAAGTGCTGGGATAACAGGCATGAGCCACCGTGCCCAGCCCCCAAACACGTTTTTTCACTCTGTACCTGGCCAGGTTGAGAGTTTTCCAAGTCTTTTTGCCTTACTTACCTTTTGACAGTAAATTCTGCCTTTAAGTCATGTATTCCTTCCCACCGCTTCATGTAAGCAGTTAAAAGTGGCCAAGTAGTCTCTGCTCATTACCTAGTTCCAGAGCTGCTTCTGCATATTCAGATATTTGTTATCAACAACAACCCACTCCTTGGCACCAGTTGTCTGTCTTGGTCCATTTTCTGTTGCTTAGAATATGTGAAACTAGGCAATTCATAAAGAATAAAGAAAAGGAATTCATTTCTTACCGTTCTGGAGGCTGGGAAGTCCGAAGTCAAGGAGCTGCATCTTGTCAGGGCCTTCTTGCTGATGGAGACTCTCTGCAGAGTCTGCAGGTGGCACAGGGCATCACATGGAAAGGTGGCTGAGCACACCAGCTCGGGTCTGTCTTCCTCTTCTTAAAACACCACCAGTCCCACTCCCATGGTAATCTATTAATCCATAAACCCATTAATCCATTAAGCCATGAATGGATTCATCTGTTCATGAGAGCAGAACCCTCAAGATCCAATCACCTCTTAAAGTCCCCATATCTCAATGCAGCCACATTGGTGATTACATTTCAACAAGAGTTTTGGATAAGGATACCTATTCAAACCATCACAGACTGGAAACTGTCTACCACCTGTTTTTGTACAACTCGTGATTTTAAAATATTTTTCAGGCTGGTCGCAGTGGCTCATGCCTGTAATCCCAGCACTTTGGGAGACCGAGGCGGGTGAATCACCTGAGGTCAGGAGTTCCAGACCAGCCTAGCCAACATGGTGAAACCCGTCTCTACTAAAAATACAAAAAATTAGCCTGGTATAGTGGTAGGCATCTGTAATCTCAGCTACTTGGGAGGCTGAGACAGGAGAATTGCTTGAACCCAGGAGTTGGAGGTTGCAGTGAGCCAAGATTGTGCCACTGCACTCCAGCCTAGGCAACAAGAGTGAAACTCTGTATCAAAAACAAAAAAAAAAAGAAATTTTTTTAAATGGTTGAACACAATCAAAAGAATATTACTTCATGACAAGTGAAAACTAAATGAAAATAAAATTTTGGCTTTTATAAATAAAGTTGCCTTGAAACACAGTCATGCCCATTTATTTACATATGGTATATAACTGCTTTCATTCTACAGAGGCAGAGCTGAGTAGTTTTGACAGATCTTATGGCCCAAAATGCCTAAAGTATTTATTATCTGGTTTTTTACAGAAAAAAAAATCTAAGCCATAATCCATATCTCTTAAATTTCATTTTATTTTCCATCTTCTTTTCTCTCTATCTACATAATTTTGTCAGCTTTATTTCCCAGTTTATTATATCTTTAGCTATATCTAATCTATTAATTTATGCATCTATTGCTTTATTTTCCTTTTCTTTCAATAATTGGGTTTTGTTACTTTGTTTCATTTCGTTTTGTTTTTGTTTGGGACAGGGTTTCACTCTGTTACCAGGGTTGGAGTGCAGTGGTGTGACATGGCTCACTGCAGCCTTGACCTCCCTGGGCTCAAGCGATTCTCTCACCTCAGTCTTCCGAGTAGCTGAGACCACAGGCATGTGTCACCACGCCCAGCTGATTTTTGGGTTTTTTTGGTAGTTTCAACATGTTGCCCAGGCTGGCCTCCAACTTCTGAGCTCCAGCAATCTACCTGCCTCAGCTTCCCAAAGTGCCGAGATTCTAGGCATAAGACACTGCACCCTGCCCAATAGTTGTATCTACCAGCCTGGAAAACAGGGTGACCTCATCCCTATAATAATAATAATACATCAGTTGGGCATGGTGGTGTGCCAAGTCCCAGCTACTTGGGAGGCTGAGGCAGGAGGATCAGTTGAGGCTGGGTGTTTGAGGCTGCAGTGAGCCATGTCACGCCACAGCATTCCAGCCTGAGAGACAAAGTGACAACTTGCCTCAAAAGAAAAAAAAGCTTTTATTTTCAATTTCTAGCAGATAAAAAAATTCTCTTTCTAATCTATATGGCAGGTTATGATCATCTCCTGTTGCTCATCCATTTTTGTGATACCATCTTTTATTTCTTTAAGCATTTTGTATATATTCATTTCATATCTTGTATCTGATAATTCCATTACTTGAATTCTTTGAGGTCTAAATGTGATGTGTGCAGCCTCTGCTATTAATGAAGGTTTGTTTCCTTATGTATTTGGTGAGCTTCGATTGTGAGCTCATAGTTGGCAGATCTTACCTGTGCTACCACATTAAGGATCCCTTGTCTAGAGAGGCTTTATGTTGGCTTTTGCTGAAGGCCAGGACCATGATTATAACCTGAGAGCACTAGAGCCTTCTTCCAATTTTTCAGGCTAAATTTGGGAGTCATAAGTTCAGTTCTTCCATCTTTCTTTATTGGCCCAACACTATTTCTCAATTCCAACAAAACATTGGCAAGAAAATTGGCATCTGTCCTTAGGTGTACCTATTTGTTTCATGTGTATGCATTGCAACCTTTATCTCAGCTCATATACATATTGTTGTTGTTGTTGTTGTTCTTCTGGTCCTTTGGGAAAACAAAATAAAATTATGGTTTTGTTGAATCTAGTTGTTTTGTGACAGTGGACTTCTTGGTTATCCTCTTTTTTTTTTTTTTTCTTTATGTTTTTAATGCTTCATTCTGAATCCTGGCTATCTAATCTGGCATATTGATGGAAGCAAACGTTCCATCCAGGCCAGGCATGGTGGCTCACGAGAACTTTCAGAGGCCGAGGTGGGTGGATCACCTGAGGTCAGGAGTTTGAGACCAGCCTGGCCAACATGGTGAAACCTGTCTCTAAAAAAAAAGTCCCACCCAATTCGTTTTTCTGTACTTACAACTAAGTTTGTTTGCCACTTGATGGATTATCTCCTTCTCAGAACCAGGCGGGGGAATTGCTTCTACGAGTTTTTACCTTCCTCTGCCCCATGTTGTCCTCCAGCGCTTGCCCTGTTCTATAGCACTCACTCTACTCCCTGAAAAGATACCCCAACTCTCAGTCAATGGTGAGGGCAGTTCCTTTTTGACTAAAGGAACACTCATTCTTTGATTTCTTGCCAAGGACAGAATTTAGCTTGTGGCTCTTTTTAAACATCTTGGGTCTCCTGCTTCCTCCCATTTCTGAATACAGACATGGACACAGACACACACACACACACACACACACACACACACACTCTCTCTCTCTCTCTCTCTCCTCCTTCCTATTCATTTAAACACGATCTTTTTGTTGGCATGTTTAAGTTTTTGCTCACTGACACCACTATTTCAGCTCTCTCCTGTGGAATTGCAATACTCTTTTTTGCCCCTTGGGATTCCAGAGTGTGGCTCGGAGCTAAATTCTTTTCTTCCTCCATTTGCAGCAGTGACCACATACGGTTCCATCATTTTCAGATTGATTAGTTACTTCTGCAGCTGTTGCCATCAGTTTACAAAGGCTTTAGACGAAAAGATAGGCATATGAAAATACTTTGCAAATTGTAAAGCCTTCTACAATGCTGAGGGCTATTCAGGCATAAGATAAACACTATAATTTAGGCTTCAGCAGAGGCAAATGCCCCTGAGTTTGATTATGCAGACAAAAGTGTCTTAAAGGCTTCTGAAGCTGAAAAGTGGTCTATACGGAATGAGAAGTGGGAAAGAGAGCACCCAGTTTAGAAGCTGCTGCCAATTTGACTTTTCCTCCATCTGAATAAGCAAATCCATTTTAATCCAATACTAAAGACAAAAGAAACACTGAGAACTCTTCCGAACGCATGCTTCTTAGTGGTATCCATCTCTCCCACTCGCTACTGTGCCATAGGCTAAGAGTATAATGACCGCCATGCATCCATGAAACATGGTTTGGAAGAGTAGAAGGAATTACAGGGCTGGTAGAGAAGAGAAACAGGGATCTCCCAGAAGTTCATGCTAATTCAAAAATAATGAATTAATCATGACAGCCAGCCTATGGTTCCAGGGATGAGACTGGGAATAGGCAGGTTTCTGATGTGTATATCTCAGCAGGGAACTAAGACCCCTTATAGACACAGCAGAAAAAACACTGGACTAAGAATCGAGACTGTTCTTGACAAAAGAAAAATTAGACTGGACGCGGTGGCTCACACCTGTAATCCCAGCACTTTTAGAGGCTAAGGTTGCTGGATCACCTGAGGTCAGGATTACCAGACCAGCCAGGCCAACATGGTGAAACACCATCTCTACTAAAAATACAAAAACTAGCTGGGCGTGGTGGCAGGTGCCCGTAAAATCCCAGCTACTCAGGAGGCTGAGGCAAGATAATCGCTTGAACCTGGGAGGCAGAGGTTGCAGTGAGCCGAGATTGGGCCAGTGCACTCCAGCCTGGGTGACAGAGCGAGACTCCGTCTCAAAAAACAAAAAATGCGTAACAGTAATGGCTGGTGTTTTAAACATTTTTAATACACTCTGTTTGTCTTTCAGTCTTCAGTCCTAGATTTAGGGGCATAATGGGAAAGGCTCGCCGCTTGTGTTCTGCGGAACACTGTAACTGCCTGCTGAGCGTCACTTCCTTAGCTCCTGATTGACTACGGGCTGATTACGTCTATGCAGTGAGTGCAGGAAGTCTTCTTAATATTCCGGGGTATGACCTACAATCTAATTTTGTCATTTCCCTTCATATCATGGTTATAGTTTAGATCTAGATCAGGGCTCCCCAGCTCCTTGATCCTGGAAAGGGAATCCACAGGTTTCTTTTGAGTCACACCTACTTGAGAGTCATCTCCAAGCACTCTTGCCTTTAGACGCGCAGGCTTGGGCTGGGAAGTGCTCCAAACTGCCCTACATCAGGACCTCTGTGGCTCTGTAGAGCTTTCCAGTGGCAAGGCTACATCTGCCTTCCATTTCCATTCCTGCCTCTAACCATCTGTGCTTCCAATTCTTCCAAAAATGGCTTCAGTCAGAAAAAATAGCTCATTCGAGGTCTGGCCTTCCGGTTTGCTTCCCCTAGCTAAAACGTGTTTCTCCCTAACGCTAGACTGCAAACTTCCTCTTCCTGACAGGACCTAGGCCTTTTGAAATGTGGACTCCAGTGCCTAGAACAGCTGTTGGCATCCAGTAAACACTTTAAATTTATTCAAAGAGTGAATGAACCAGTTTCCCTTAATGGCCACTGAATCACTGACAACAATCCACTTTTCTGTGTTAGGCTTATATGCTAACTCTCAGTATTACTAGGACCGATACTGATTTCTTCTTCCCTCCTTTCCTCCCTTCTTCCCTTCCTCCATCTCTCCACTCCCTTCCTCCCTTCCATGACATCTCCCTACTGAAACGGATTTGTAAATTTTCCCCAGAGTGAAACCCATTTCTAAAACAGTACTTTGGGTAAAGTTCTAAATTATAAAATATTCATATATCCTAGTCCTATATCAACTTTTAATTTTTTTTTTTTAACGGAGAACTGTTCTATAGCCCAGGCTGGACTGAAATGGCATGATCTCAGC